ATAAAACATGCATCTTTCACAGCAATTTGAAGTATTCACCGGAATACTCGAAAGAGGGGCTCTATTTCGAGTATTCCAAATCGTATACTTTAAGAAGAAAGAGTCAAACACTGACAAATTTATGGTGTTACTTGTGTTAATGGAAGCCACGTTAACAATTCCCATGGGGGCTTTTAAACGCAGTTATATTTGGAAATCGGATCGTCATTCCAGAATTTAGAGCGTATTAGCCATCCAGACCAGAGATAATCCCGTTTAAAAAACGTCTATGTATAACCTTGCTTAGTACCTATGAGTGGGTATTTAAAATATGAAAAATTTGCTTAGGTATAGTTATTGCGTTCTCTTAAATAAACATTAATGTATGTTAACGATTCGTTAGGGAGTTTTTAGGCCCCTTAATTGCAACACGTTTTACGTTATCCGTTATTCTGAGCATGCGCATTAGTAAAGAAATAACCGTTTACGTTATTAGAGGATAACGTGTTCCTTTATTTACGTACGCGTAGCGGTAACGTTAATAAGCATCACGTTAAAAAGCAGAACGACGGTGTTGACATATTTGACTTATTTCTAATATTATTAATAAAATAAACGGCTAAAATAGAATAAGAAATCTTTGTAAATTTAAATAAGACTTTTTCATTGATTAGTTTACTCCATTATTGCGTAAGTACGGATTTTATATGAAAATTGTTTGGGCAAATTTGAACTTTGGCAACACTACTAACATCGCAAGCACAGGTTCTAACTTCTAACCCATAACCTAACTATTTGATTTTCAATTTTTATTTAATATGTTTTTTCTGAACCCTAAATTTGATAAGGCGATCTCTAAGCTCTATATTTTCTAAATTAAAAATAGCTCTTCGGATTGCAACAACAGGTGGCTCCAAGATGTCGTGTAAAATTAAGCCCCTTATTGAATCGTGATCTACATCTCCCTGGTCATTTCGGTGCAGAAAGGCAGCTTCAATGTTTTCTTCCATCTGAGCCACTTTTTGTTTAAAATCAATACAAACTTAAACTAGCTTTGAAACTTTTCCAAACAAAACGGGATAAGAAAACAATAAAGTGAGGTTTATTTTATGAAGAGTGCAACAAACGCGGTATCAAAAACTAAAAAACGCACTTAACGTTATTTGCCTGAACACCTTATTTTTGTAACACTGCGCATGATCACAATAACGTTTAGCGTTTAAGCCCCACGTAATTGTCAGGGGCCTAAAAACTCTCTGTTGTAGGCATGATACAATGAATACAAGGTAGAATACTGCGTTGATTTGCGTGACGTCGTGTGGTACTCTCGGCCTGTTGTGTATAATAATAATAATAATAATATTGAAATTTTAATACAAATTAAATGAAACTACAGGATGTATGTAATTGTAATGATTGATGTATGTAAATGTAAGTTAATTTTTAGAAGTTGACACTTGTTTTGTTGACATTCGTATCACATTGCCGTTAACATCTGAAGGTGATTTGTTTTCCTGTGTTCTAAGCAGCGTTTGCAACCTTTTAAGGCAATAGAAACAGATCGAACAGTGTGTATGTATTGTTTTATATTGTCAACTCCAATAAATAAGCAAGTCTGACAAGTCTCAACTGTCACTCGACGAGTAAAATGACCATTTCGCGGCGCCACCGTCGGTAGTTGAACTCGCGAGTTGTAACAGAGTGCAAACAAATGTCAAATTACTAACTTGTAGTTATAAATTTAGCCACCAGGGAGCGTTTGCGCAATTTGAACTTGCGAATCAAGACTGTCAGATGCAAAACAATGGAATAAGATTTTCATACACACACCGACAGGTACATTGTTTCCAATAAAAAATTCGCACACCAAAGACCTCCACAATTTCATCAAAAGTGACCTTCAGCAGTCGAAACCAAAACGGTGCCATCGCGATGGCCTTTGTTTTTGATCACATTTCATGTGAACGCAAAGCGGTCATTGTTTTGCACGACTGGCCGAAAGATAATTCACAGTGCAATATTTTTAGATTTAAACACATATTCTGGGTGTTCCATTACTCAACAGACATTATAAGAAACTGTTACATCAAACTCGGGTCAGTTTGAGATTGACAATCTTTTGAGTTTGCCCTGAACGCGAGCCAAAAATTTTCCAATCTAAAAGTACCATCAAACGCCGGAAATAGTCACTAAAACTTCGAATTTTTCGAACAATTAACTGTGCACTCATTGCGTTAATTCGAAGTGACTTTTCCAATTGACTCCAGCGAAAAAGTCATCCACAGTCACAGTTGGGCGAACTCCAAACTCCTTATTAATTCGAATGCTTTTAAGGCCCCGTCTACTCATGATAAATTATATGGACCGAATGAGTGGTTAAACAAGATGACCCACATTTCTGTGACCCTAAGAAACTGGCCGATCACAGTCGCTCAAAGTCTCGCCTGTTAAGGAACGAAGACACAACTGTTCTCAAATCTATAATCAATCTGATATACAGCGTGTCCAGTAAGCGCATAATCAAAAGAAACGTTCTTTGGACCAAAAGAAGACAAAAAATAGTTCTCTGCTATCGGTGGTGAAAGTTTCAAAAAATAATGCTTTCTGAAATATTGGGCAAATGATATGATGATGACTCATGTTGTGATGAAGCAACCGAGTTCATGCCCTTTGGGCAAGTGAAGAATGTCTTGGAGCCAGGGGCGGATCCAGCTTTAAATTCAGG